GGGTGGAAACCTCTGTACATTGTGAGGAGCTTCTGGGTCTTCACATCAGCAGCCTCCATGTTCTTCTTTGGCCAGCTCACTATACTGGCAAGGTATCTGTTGACTGGCAGGGTGTATGTGTTGATGACGTGGATCCTGTTCTTCCCATTGAGCTGTCTCTTCAGGACCTGTCTTATCCTTTGGTGATATTTGGATATTGCTGTCTTCCTTGCCTCATCATCGTGGTTACCATGTGACTGTGGGATACCAAGGCACTCATAGCTGGTCTGTATGTCTGCTATGTGACTCGCTGGTAGTTCCGCCCCATCAGTCTTAACTACCTTCTCTCTCTTTACTACCATTCGGCCATACTTCTCCAGTCCGAATGATATCGCAATGTCCTCACTGTAGATCCGTGTCAGGTGGATCAGTGAGTCGATGTCTCGTTCACTCTTACCATACAGCTTGATGCCATCCACAAAGAAGAGGTGGCTAATGGTAGTTCCACTCTTGAATTTGTATCCATGTCCAGTCCTTGTGATTATCTGGCTAAGGGGGTTCAAGGCTATGCAGAGTAGCAGCAGGGACCTTGGTCTATGCCACACTTGACGGCCAATTGTGCGAGCAGTCTTGAGTTGACTTCTAGTGTTGTCTTCCACACTCCAACTGAGTTCTTGAGGAAGGTCTTTAATGTCCTGTTGACTTTGTATAGCATCAGATGGTCATGGATCCATGTGTGTGGCATTGAGTCATAGGCTTTCCTGTAACCAATCCAGGCTGTGCTCATATATCTATAAACAAACTCAAGGCAGTGAACATACCTAATACTCCTGCCTTCTCTTTTCGCCACAACAACCTCGTGAGTTGGGTTGGGCTGTGAGAGAGTGACTATCCCAAAGTCACTCTTGCCTAAGAGAGGCCTAGAACTCACAGTCTTCTGGTTTCTAGGCCAACATCTTAATGACTACGTAGTTAGTAATGTATAAAGCAAGTTTATGCTAACAATCCTGACACTTATAGCTTTTTATTATTATTATACAGGGCTGTGAAAAGATTCACATTTGAAAAGCAAAATATGTTTTGGAAGTAACACCTGTTGGGAACACCTTAAGCAGTTGTGCCTTTTTCCAGGATCAAGCAGCTGCCCTCCATAGCTACCACATAATCTCAGGAACAGATACATTTAGTTTTAAATGCTACTTGTGTGCCCCAAATCACATTTTTATTGCCTCTTTTGAATGGTGTGTAAATGTGGTTTATCTGTATATGTCTATTGATGGCAGACATTTCATTACCCAATTAGGTAACCTCATCAGTGCTAGTGATTGTGGGGTTTACTCCTTGTTTATATACAGCAGCTTGCCTGCCAGTATTGGTGGGGGTGTGGTTTTCTCCCTGGTAGTTCCTTGATTAGGGTATTGTTTTCTGCTTGATTGTTTGTCTGGTGTTAATCCCTGCTTATCTGGGTGTTGACTGCTGGAGAGGATATATTCTGGTCTTTTTTGTTTCATCCTGGAAGCTTGGCATGAGGAAAAATAGGGCAATTGGATCAAAAGAAGGTAATAGACTTCTAAAAAACAGACTGGACCCTGCAGGGAAATTAATTTGGGACCTTTCCAAAGGGAGGGGAAAGTAACCGTGAAGAGATGAGAAGAAGAAACAAATCACATTTTGGATTACACTTTGGGAAAAAAATATAAAATGTGTCATGGTTGCAAAAACATGTATACAGACCTAGGGGCAAGGAAAGCATGCAGACCGCAGAGCAAGGAGCAGACTTGTCTGTTTAATGCAGACAGGCTTAATCCCAAGAGACCAATCCTTGAAGAAATGGCTAGGAAAAATAAAAGGAAGTGGTTCGCTTAGGAAAGCAACCTGAGAAATAATGGATTGAGGTTGGGGTCAGCAAGGGGAAAGTTCAAGAGCAATCAAGCAGAGCCAAGAAGGCACAGGAAACTGCTATGTGAGACTTTTGCAAGATAACTAAATCTGGTTGTAGAGCTCTGTGGTTACTGTTTTAATGCAAACAGTAAAACAAGCTGTTCTTAACTCTGATCCTGAATTCAAGCAACCAGATGAAGCTATGTTGTCTGCTCTTAATAGAAGTATCTTGAGACTTACTAGATCAGGGAGGAAGGAAGTGTCCCTTAGGATCCCTGCTAATGGGTTAGTTAGTAGCAGACTTGGTCAAAGCAGTTTGGACAGAAATTAGAAAAGAAATTGCTGGAACCCTATGGCTGAGATTTTCCCTTTATAACAATTTTTCAAACTCAGGACTAACCACTGTGTTAAAAAAAAAAAGCTACCCAAAAGAGACCTATGTTTGTAACTCTTCTATTATACAGTACCTTGGAAGACGTTCCACTTCTTTTCCTTTCACTTTTAGGGCTTTGAAATTTTTCTCCCAATCCTGTTCTTTGAAAAGATGAATCTCCACCAAAGCTTCCATATCAACTTGTCCAATTATCACCCATTCCTTCAACATGGAGAAAGGAATTCATATTTTTATTAAAAAGATACATTATTTATCTGTGTGTGTGTGTGTGTGTGTGTAAATCCTGACCATTTAGATATATAAACAGAAAAAGAAAAATGCCTCAAATGCATTTAAAGAAGTTGATTCTTGCCTACATTAACCCAATACTTTTGGCTTGAAAGTTTAGGCATGCAGCTAATCACCACTGCTTATATCATTCACTACTACAGGTAGTCCTCACTTACCGATGGTAATTGGGACCAGGAACTCTGTTGCTAAGTGATGCGGTCATAAGGTGTGACCTCATGTGACTGCACTTACTTACAACAGCAGTACCAGAAGTCCCAGTTGCTGTTGTTAAGAGAATCCTGCATGGTCACAGCCTTCCGCGGCCATGTGATCACCATTTGCAACCTCCTGCCAGCTTCCCCATTGACTTTGCTTGTCGGAAGTGGCAGTGAAGGTCGCAAATGACAATCACGTGACCACGGGACACTGCAACATTGTAATTGCAAGTTGTCACCAAAGATTACTTCATCCATCTGATTATTTCATCAATCTCACTTCATGTAGGATGTGTCATAGCTGAGAAAGGCTATAAAATACCAAGGACAGGAGGCCTCCATTACAATTTACCCTTCCATGAATTACTTAAGAACATACGCAATGCCCTGCTGGATCAGTCCCCGGGCCCACCTAATCGAGCAGTCTGTTCTCACAGTGGCCAACCAAATGCACAATGAAGCCCAGCAGATAGTCTTCAGAGGCAGTAAAGGCTAATGGCCACTGATTCCTATGACTTCCATGAATTAGTCCAATCCTTTTTTGAAGCCAGCCAAGCTGGCAGCCAACACCATATTTCATTATAAATACAGTTTGTATCCAGGAGAACTCTTTGGGATCTCTAGCAAGAGCAACTTGTCTATGTGGTTCAACTTAGGGCACATGATGTCCTTTTGAAAGCATGAAGGGCCCACTATGGATGTTTTTCCTTCAAATGTACAGATAGGCATTGATGCAACAGAGGGAGAAACTATGGATGTAGTATATACCTGGTTCTTAGAGCTCATTTACATATTTCATGGATGCTGTAATCTATATACAATACTGTAGCTTCTTCCCAATACTTTCAAAATTTTTCAGATTAATAACTTTAAATAAGTTGACTGTGATCTCCATGCACAGGTCTCTTCTCTCCAGGATTCTCCCAGCTGCTTCTTTTGTAGCTGATCTTTTCTTGAATGTCCATGCTCTCCCAATTTAGTCTGTAATTCTTCCCCAGCTGTGGCTCAGGCAAACCACTCCAGAAAATATACTTAGTAAAATTCTAATGCACATTCATCTATGTTCAAACTCACTATAAGTATTGGTAGAATTGCAACCAATATCTGAAGACTTCCATCCTTGCACTATTTGAGCAAAATACTGTTGGTTAGTAGTGTATTGTTTTATAAGTGTACCTAAGTACACTTACAAAACAATATTATCAAACATTCTTTTAATATTTGAGTGCAGTCTGTATTTCAAAATCCCAAAATTAGAATAAGAATTATCATTAGGGCTATATAATAACACTTGGGATTTGATTCCAAAAAACTTCTTCAGAGAATATGAAAGTATGAATGTAGCACCTGTTGGCGATTTCCAGCAGAACTGCAGCAGTCACACAATCCCAGAAATAGATATAATTCCTTTAATGAGTTGCCAACCCAGGTGCTGGGTTCACACTCCTATGCATTCCAAAACAGCTCTTTTAGACTCAATCTGAAGCATTGTGCTAAGTGTTCCTGCAGCCACAGGATGCATACCTCTGATCACATGGCAAATATTACTTTAGAGATATAACCAATCTGAACTGTTTTATAAATATCCCAAATGCATGTCTGACTTTCACACTTTGTATGTTTTATAGAAACTGTTGGTATATCACCAAGTTGTAACACAGGAAAGAAATGACTGACCCACGCAGTGTGGAGAGAACGCCAGTGCTTGACATAAAGTATAACAGACACAGTGATATAGTGAATACTGAAGCATTTCTAAAACACCTATCCTAAAAAAGTTTTCAAACAAAAGCAAATATTTACAAACAAATATTTACAAGCAAATATTTACAAACCTTAAATTGATCTAAAACTTCTGCCAATCTTCGGAACAAGTCTTCTGCTTTACTAAATGTGGTCAGAAATCCACTTGCATTTCTTTCAGTCATGACAGAAAAAATGCACTCTTCATCTGTCTCACTTACTCCCTTAAATTGGTTAGGAATAGAAATGAATCTCTTCATCTCTCTGTAATACCTTGCTCGTACTTCTTCAAAAGGGGGTTTGAATTGCAATCTTCCTTGTCTGAAAAAATGTTTTTAAAATATTATTAATTACCATATCAAGAACCCAGTCCTCTAATGCCTTGGAGTAATCTGGTTACAATTACTCTATTAAAATATATTTAAAAAACATGCATTTTTCATTAGTTTTATCAACTGCAAGAACATCTTACTTGTAAGTTAAATCAATGTTTATTTCTGGCAGATTTTCATTGAGTGCCTCCAAGCCCATTTGATACTGATGCTCCAGAGCTTTGTACAGTTGGTGGTTCCAATGAAGCCTCCATGCTTTCATATCATTTGAAAGGAAACCCTATAATTTGATAGTATTCAGGTTAAAAAATTGCAATTAATCATGGAAAAATGTACAGGGAGACTATGTAGGAACTACTTTCAAGAAAATATTATTTAGGCAACTCAGAGAACTGTGTAGCTATGGAATATCTCACAGCTTGGCAAACAACTAATTAAACAAAATACTGATCAATAATTTTCAACTAAATCAACTCAATCCAATTTCTTGCAGGAAGATAATAGATTTGCATGCCCTTGGTTAACAAAGCACTCCAGTGTGAATGTAGACTTTTCCCAATGTTACAGTTCATTAGGATCATTACTGGGTTATTGTAATGGTATGTGAGATGACCATGGAAGACAGGGGGAAGAGCTGCAGCCAGGGCAACGGTCGAATAAGAGGCAACTTAGCCCGCAGCAGGAATGTAGACATGGCCAACATCTCAGAAGAGGCCCTCCCTAATTTCTTGGGCTGTAAAGGTGATAAGGGAGAAATGTACTTTCAGACTTGCAAGATTCCCTTAATGTAACCTTACAATAAAGTAGAATTAGTTCATCTGTATGTGCTTCTTGTCTGGACTACCTCACAAGGCTAAGTTATGTGCTTCATGCATACCATTGCCTCAAAACTTTGTTCTGAGTGATTTGATTTAAATGTAGATGTAAGTAAGTTTCAATTTTTACAGCACTAAATACTTCCTTATGATTTACAATGACACTGCTTTGATGTGCTTCCAGTAATTATTATATAGCATACAGCTGCATTTACTCTACTACAGAACACTGCTGGCTAGGAAAATATAGAAATTTGCGATAAGTGATTTTAAGTTGTTTCCAACAAATCCCTGTAGCACACAAAATTATAACATATGCTTCTATTTCATCCTTTACTTTGTTAGGTATCCTGCCATGAAAAATTAGAATATTATCTTGACTCAGTCACATCAGTGAATTATATAGACAGTAGCATTTTCTGCTATGAACCTAGATAATTCCATGATTTACCTAAGATTTCAAGTATTTTCAGTTATTTGATGAACTGATAATTCCATGATAAGTATTTTCCCACAAATGTTTTGTAAGGTTAGCCTTACATATATAAAACTTAGTTTCCCATCCTATTTCACTTAAATATTAAGTAGCAGTTAATTCATGCCTGTGATTCAAGGCTGGAGAATCCTCCCCGAAGCTCCTGTAAGCCATCTTTCCAACGTTGCTGTTGACGAAGCAGATCAATGTTCATCAGGGCAACAACCTATCAAGAAAAATTATAAGCATGCTAAACTTTGTTACTGAAATAAAAAGAAAAAAAAATGAAACAGGTTGAGATGATCAAACATACTTTTTCTACAAAATTGGTGTGCCATTTTCTTAACTTTCTGTTTTCTGTGGCAAGCCGTTCTGCTGCACTTTGGAGTTTCTTGATATATATTTCTAGTTCTTTAGGATTGTCCCATGTTATTTGTCCTTCTGCTTTTGAGTGCTGCCAAAGAAATAATTAAGTAAGTAAATAATTGGATTCTAATGAAGTTTATAAGATGAAGAAGTTCTCTCTGAGCATGTTTACAGAGCCTGAAATGAACGAAAAGGCAAGGGGTAAAGGGAAGGAGACCAGAGAAAGAGAAAGTATATATTCAATTGCAAATGAATATGACTTTTTTGGGGGGGGGGTAGTTCACAACGTATGATAATTCTATACAGGTCAATCTGATTCAATACTGTTGTATCCCTCAGAGAAACAAGTGTTACAGCAATAATTATTCTAAAAAAAAAAAACTTTCCTCACTCTACCTCTGTTCCTGTAAAGTGGTACAGGCTGCACCAGAATCAACTTGAGTGGTGCTCAATTCCAAAACAACAAACAAGTAAGATTAAATGACAGGGGATTTAGTATTTTCATCTGATTTTGGTCCTGCCTCTAGAGCAAAGTTGGAGTCACCCATAGGCATGCATTTTGGAGAAAAAGGGGCATGCACATTTCTGTCTCAAAAGCAGGATTACTGTAAACACTGCTCCCCAACAATTTGCACCTCTGGGTCTCCCAAAAAATTCATTCAAAACATCAGGTCTCAAGGATCCAGAATCAAATCCCGTGATCAATCAGAAAATCTATTCAAGTAGTAAAAACTTCAAGTTTTTAGAAGACAGAAGAGTGATAAAAGTGAAAGTAATAATCATGCAATTACTTTAATTATCTGTTCAAATGCTAAAGCCGACTGCAGCATCATTGGCTTCTGACTTGGAATCATTTGCTGATCAATACTGTTATAAAAGTGGGCCACCTATTAAAAAATATATATAAAATCCATGAGATATAAATGCCACATTCATATTTAAAATAATTCATTTTTTAAATTATTTTTATTCATCATTTAGCTTTCCATTTAATGTACAGTTTTAAATTTCAGCTTTAGAAGATTCTACCTAGTCCTACCTAGCATTGGTTTGCAATTCCAGTCACACTAAACCCTTTAAAGGTATTTTTTCCCTCTATATAGCCATATTAACAATCCTCTGTGTTGTTTGTTTTACACTAAATGGGGGGAAATCGTATTTTGAAACTAATGATATAGAGACATACTGGAACCTTTTGACATGTACAAAAACATTCTAAACTGTGGATTAAAACTGTGACAAATCGAAAGCAACTGAAATGAATGCCTAACGACTGCAAGGTATTTTACATTTCTTCTAATGTCTTGCTCCATGAATTAAAGCTGCACAGATATAATGAAGCTCAATGTTTTAGTGCAAATTTTACTGCAAATTTAACTGTACCCTTTCAATTTAATTTAAAAATTAGTTAGAATTCTACATGAATTTTCCACTTTTGGAGATCAGGTAGAATTCACTCTTTAGCAGTGCTCACACATGTAATGAACTACAGCGGTAGTAAAAACTTATAATAAAACTATTATCTATCTATCTGTCTTTCTGTCTATCACATTTACATAACCTCCCATCTCACATAGTGACTCTCTTTAAGTTATATCTAAGAATCAATCCATGAATTTAATAGCATTTAAGAAGTTATCATACCTGTTTGAGAATCACTGCTTGTTTGCAAAATTTTTGAGCAGTGTTTGAAGCCTGTTGTATTTTGGCAGGAATGAGAAACCCAAGTGCAGAAAGCTGACGTACTTCTCTCAGGAGAGTTACCAAGCGATCTGAATAATGTATTTTTAAGGCTCCATCGGAATGATCAAGTTCCATTACAGGACTATTGGCCTGTATACTAAAATAATTTTTAATATTAGTCTTTATATTAGAAAATATGATCTGCTTTTTTTTCTGCATAAGACCTAGAGTCTTCTTCTGTGTTCTAGAGACTAGCTATTAATTTGCATAAGTAGATTTTAAGCAGGGTTATGCACAACAACAGATGTGGTAAACTTCCTTGAATCTATGGAGTACGAAATATACAATCAACTTAAATAAATAAATAAAACAATATAATTCCTCTTTTGGACCATACCAATCTATTATTTTATGTGTACTCCAGCAGTTTTGCAGAAGTTAATCCTCTGAATCAGAAGCAGTTTGTGATGTTCTGACATGATTTGGCCCATTTCACCCTGAACTTCAGAACCCAAAATATTTCCAGTTCAAAGGATTGGCTTGTGGAAACCTGCTGGACCAACCCCAGAATGTGCTGGAGTTCTTCAAAACAGTTCACCCCGGACTGGTTTTATGTGTGCCTAATTCTGATTGTTTGTACAAAGTCAAATATTTTATACTTACCAAAGACCAGACTTTGGGTTTGAGAGACCTGTTTGAATGTCCCTGGACCAATCATCAAATTGTTCTTGTTCGTACATTTTGAATTGTTCTAGGAGGTCATCTGCAGTTTGTCGGAAATTTTGAAATCCAGATAGGTCTGAAAGAAGGGCCTCTGCAATCTTAATGGCATCATCCACCTTAGACATCGAAATAATTGAAAAGTTTAATTGCACTTGGTATGTTTTATACTAGCTAACACATAAAAAATACATCTAGGATATTTAAAATCTCAGCATCTTACACTTTGGAGTTTATATAACCACAGGATTGGTTGCTTAACAAAGTTTAAACAATTTAGTTGCAGTAGCAACTAAATATTATTGCATACTTGTAATTGATAAACCAAGAGTTGTCCATGCATAGCACACAATCCAGGCTTTAGATATAAAATATAAAATTCTGTCTAATGGTAACCCATTCAATTCTCCTGTACTGTATAATCATTAGATGCAGAGTGGTCCACAGGAGTGTATGATAATCTCTATTACCTATTATAGCTATGCAAAGATCTATTTTCAAAGGGAAAAATATAATGCATAATTCATATACCATATAACTTATTGGAAACACCACCTTAAACCAAGCATGTATTTTTCCAAGGTTGCACAGTAGCTGCAAAGGGCAATAAGCAAGCCTATTCCTCCAAGCACACATTAAGCCTACTAGATTCATTTGATAGCAAATGAAGGTTTCCTGCTTCTAATTAGCAGCACCTTATCAGCAATTCTCTAGGACCTTGGCATGCAACTAGCTCCAGTAGAAATAGAAACAAGTCTGCATATAGGGCTTCAGGAAAATCCAACAAGACAATACAGGTGGTCCTCACTTAATGACCATAATAGGGACCGGAAAATTGGTTGTGAAGCAGGGCGGTCGTTAAGCAAGTCACCATATGACCAGACCCGATTTTACAACCATTTTTACAATGGCTGTTAAGTGAATCACATGGTCGTTAAATGAATCCAGCTTCTCCAATGGATTTTGGCCAGAATTCGCTTAACGGCCGTGGTGATTTGCTTAATGACTGTCATAAAGAAAGTTGCAAATCACGATCATGTGACCATGGGGGAGTGGTGCAATGGTTTGCAACAGTCATAAGTGTTGTAAACCACTTTTTCCAAGGCTATCGTAACTTTGAATCGTCATTAAATGAATGGTCATTAAGCAAGGATTACCTGTATTACCAATAAGGCACAGAGATCTGGGAATGCAATTGAACAGCCTCACTTGGTCATAGAAGCATCAGAAGAGCACATTTAGAAGTAGCTAATGAAGCTGAAAAGGTTTTCATTGAGTTAGGAGAACTAATCTTCATGTTTCACTCCATAAATTATTTAAGGGTTATTTAAAGAATTATATTGGGGATCAGATGTGTATCAGCTTTAAGACAGTCCTTGAAAAGTAGTTTGAAAAATTATCCCTATTTCAATCTAAAAACACATATTATTTCCTATATGTTAACATAAAACATCACATTATGGATTTAAATTGATACCTTCAATTCTAGCTGGCGTACCCAGACAATATTATTCACAACCTCAGAGAGGTTTTTGCCTGACAGTGGCCCTGATGCATCCCCTGGAGTGCCATGACATCGTGTCTCAAAATCTGTCTGATAATCTGTATAACAGCATTAAGGAAAATATTAGTGAGTACTGCAATAGCACTAAGCACTGAAATCTGTTTCCTAATATGTAGCCTAAGAGACCTTATGTTTGATTAGCTGCAAAAAGTTCTACAGTATCAGTATCACAATTCTGTATTGGGCAGAACATTTTATTTCAAGAAGGAAAATGAACATGATTGGAAAAACTCTGTTTTAAGCAAGAATTTGAACTACTCTGTAATCAGACGCATCCCTACAAATTGAGTGTGATAAATAGCCAAACTAAAGATATAACAGGTCATAATACTTTCTGTAGTAAATAACATACAAATAACATACCAGATGAATACTATATTTAAGTACCAATAATTTCATACTTTCAAAAAAACAAGAGATGGCGGAAGCACTCATAAAATATTTTTCATATATACACGTATATATACCTTTAACTGCGCCTTGAAGTTTTGCCAGCAAAGTTTCTCTTTCTAAAAGCAATTCTTTGCTAATGCTTGGACGTCGTACTAATTCCTTGTATTTCTGAAAAGCCTGAAGAAGCTGGAAATATAAAACATGTACAAATACATAAAATGTAACAGATTCCCATGGGTTAGTGTTTGTAACATTAATCTACAGGTAGTCCTTGCTTAACGACCCTAATTGACCAGAATTTATATCACTAAGTGAAGCGGTTGCTAGGCAATACATCATGTGACCGCGCCACTGGGTGACAGCAGTTCTGGTAGTCCCGGCTGCAGTCATTAGGCAAGGGCCAAACTGTCATTAGGCAAGGACCTCATGTTTCTCCTGCCCTGTGCAAACTGCTGGCTTTGTCCCGCCGGGCCCAGTGAGGAGGAGGCAGCAGGACCAAGCCAGTGAAGGAGGCAGGGCAGTGGGAAGCTTCCTTTGGCAGATGAAACTCTTCCACCCTGCTGCATTTGCTGCACACATCCCAGGGCTGTGCCTTTGCCCAGCATCTGGATCCTGGGCAAGCAGAGAGGGGAAGAAGATTACAAAGGTCAGCTGATGGGGTAGTTGAAGCACACACTGCAGTCGTAAATGCAGGCCGGTTGCCAAGCACCCAAATTTTGATCATGTGACTGCCGGGGCACTGCAATGGCTGTAACTCTGAGGACCAATTGTAACTACCATTCATTCAGTGCCATCGTAATGTCAAACGGTGGTTGAGTGAATGGCTGAAGTGAGGACTACCTGTATTTAACTGAATGTTTAGGTACCTGCCATGACTACGTAAATGCCAGATGTATGAGAATGCCAGGCTGCTATTTTGATTAAAATTACCGCAAATAATCCCATAAATTTGTTTTCTTTATTAATGTATTTTTATACTAACCATATTACCAGACTTCAGGCAGCAAAATAAATATATTTCTTCCATGTTTCGATATTGACATGAAAAAAGCCAATTCACAACAAGAAAACTGATACAAAATAAGTAATTACAATTGGCAATAGAAATCATGAAAATTAAAAAATAGTAACAAAATGTATACATATGCTTATGTTTTGTATTTTTGTTGATATTGTGCTTACATCTTGCCACAAGAATTTATTTCATTCCAAAAAACAGCAAAACCTGAGGTTGGGTAGACAGACCTGAAAATAACACCAGAAATGATTGCACATGATTCAAAGATATTTTAAAATACCTGTTGTGGACTATCTTGGATTTCTGAAATAAAGCTTTTCAACTTGCTTGCTATTTTTTGTTCTGCTGGAGCAATAATTAATTACATTAAAGAGAATTGCTCTGCACAGATACATCAAAAACTGTGATGATGATTCTGAGGTTCTTTCATGCCCAAAAATGGTAGTCTGGGCTGCATCAAGAGTGCTAGATTACTTTCTCTCTCTCACTCTAGATGATGCCATCCATTATCCACATGTTGAAAAAAAAAAAAGAAAAGTACTGAACAAAGACTCCCAATTTTGAATGAGGCACAATGAAGAAGCATAAGACATGTAGTTTGTCATGTTAAGGCACGCTTCAACTTCTCTTGCAACAGAAAAAAATGAAACCCACAAAAATTTAATATACAAGTTGGATGTACATATTATTTTTAGTAAGCATGTCTTTCAGCATCTAGTTTTGTGGCCAATAATAAATTTTTTAAAATACCTGTTGTGGACTATCTTGGATTTCTGAAATAAAGCTTTTCAATTTGCTTGCTATTTTTTGTTCTGCTGGAGCAATAATTCTTTCATATTGACGTACTGCTGCTTTCCATAAAGGCTAGAAGAGGAAAACATATTTTTATTCTAGTAGATTGAGCTACACTTCATCTAACTTAAATTCAAATTACATATAAAATATTCTACCTCAGTATAGGGATTGTAATGCACAGGATTCAACCCAGCAAAAGGTTCAAACACTTGGGCAAGATGCAATGCTTGCTGCTCACCAGTTGGCAGAAAATATGTAAGTTTCTCATGAAGTGATCGAATACTTAATACCTAAAATAAAAGGAATAAAAGTTGACCCATAGTTTGTCTACTAACTATAACAAAAGCTAGAAATCCTATAAAGAGTAATCTATGCCAAAATTATATCTAAGTGCTTTTGACAAATGAAGCACAGAATAGAATACAGTATTAATTATGAAATATATTTATGCATGGAAATGTTAATTTATGTAATTACATCACATGATAATACAACATTACTCAATTGAAAATAACTAAATATATTAACATACCACTGAGGACAGTGGGAAAACTGAAATTTAATGTATTTGAACTACACATTATGATATTGTAAAAACAGATCTTCCAAATTCATATGAGGACAGTGGGAAAACTGAAATTTAATGTATTTGAACTACACATTATGATATTGTAAAAACAGATCTTCCAAATTCATATGAGGACAGTGGGAAAACTGAAATTTAATGTATTTGAACTACACATTATGATATTGTAAAAACAGATCTTCCAAATTCATATTCCACTAATAACTATGTTTCTAATAACTCCAGTAAGATTTCTGCTACAGAAGTTCCTGGGCATAGCCCAGATGCTGTCTATTCTCATTGTCAGAAGTCTTCTCTTTAAATTACCTTGGATTCTTTTTTCAGAGAGAGATGCTATTCAGTAATTTCAGACCTCTGATTTGAAAAAGAGGAAATATTTTACTTATAGTCCTTTCCTAAAATTTTGACAGTATCCATAATTATTAATCTAATTCATCTGAAATTCATGAAGCTGCCTTATACTGTACCAAACTATTTATCCATTTAATCTAATATTGTTCTTTTATCCATAGCTTCAGAAATCTCTCTTTATATCAGAAGTGGGCAACCTTTTTTCTAGTAACATGATGGTAGAACTGAAATAAAGACTGTGTTTCTTTTTCCCTGATATTTATTTTTCTTTCCCCTTCATTCTGACACTCCCCCCACCTTTTTTTTTTTTAATCTCTAGCTGCAGGCTATGGGAAATATAATATTTTTTTACTGTACTGAAAATCACCTTACCCAGAGCTGCTGTTTTCTCTTTGGGGACAAATAGCAACTTCGGGAATTGATATATATTTTAAAAGTAAACAGCTTTGGGAAAGGGATGTTAAAAATGCTGTACCAGCATCACAGCCTGTTTGTTTTGAAAACAAGCAAGAAAACCAACCAGAGAGCACCATCACTCCATCTACTTTTACCTTAAGTACTCTTCTTTATAGCTATCATCAGAGTGCCTTTAGCTGAAGGTGCAAGAGCCTCAATTTTATGGCTTTGTATCTAAAAAGCACATGCCCTATTACTGGACTATAGCCCCTTCTATTAGAAAACATCACATTCAAAAGCCTTCAGTTAATTCTCTTCCCTACACCTCACATCCCCAAAAGAGCAAAACAAAACAATTAGATACCTCTTCAAGGCGTTTGCCAAGTTTTCCTAGTGTTTCAGGAATATATTTCTCTGCTTGCCATATATGTGGGGTGTAACGCTGCCATAACTGCCCGGTAAGATGATCACAGGCTGCAACCCACTGTTCACAAATTATGATGCCAGCCTTCAGATTTTCTTTTACAATGTGAAACGAATCCTCCCATAGATTTAAAGTACCTAACTTCTTCTGAACAAATCTTCCAAGAGAGCCAGCTAAAAATCACACAAACAAATCACGAAAATTAACTGTATTTTCAATTATTTGTACTTTGTTTGGCAAAGAGCAGATTTTCATGACTACATTTGTATCAAAACTTGCCTCTTAATATACCTATACCCATTGTACAGATGTAATCACTACACCCAAATCACAAGGCATTTGTGTGCGCGCACACACATACAACACATACATATATCACGTCAATGGCAATTACATCTAATAGCACTAACTCCCATTCTCATAAATAATTCAACTTCAGATCCTGAATATAATACTTGTTTCCTATTTATGTAGAAACTGCCCCAAGTTACCTCCTACTTTAAAATGGGTTTTTAATGGCAGGGCTTTTTTAATCTGGAGGATATAAAGAAATTGGTTTTTCTTTCAACCCCTGCACTCATGCTAGCCAAACAAATGCATCTTGATCTCATTGAAAGAGATCAGGGGTAGGGCCTCCAAATGTTATCAAATTACAATTTTTACCATAGTAGTAGCAGCTTTGCTTTTCTTTAAACCAGGCAGAGCACAAAATGATAATATACAACATCAACAACTTGATATGGTAACATACATTTGAATCTGACACTGCAAATGAATATGTAGAACCTCAATGACCTGAATGGCTCATAGTGCTTAATGCAATCATTGGCACCTATACCTAAATAACAGTAAGAATAATACACAAAAAGGTGATACTTAAACCACCTTTATAAGGGCTCATAAAAGAGGAATGTTTTTAGTTCCTTTTAACGTTTTGACAAATCAGACTTCAGGCATAGTCCTCATGGAGATTTGTTCCAGAGGACTGGCACAAGATGAGAAAACCTCTCTACCAGTTATGTAGTTATGTTAGTATTGGGGGTACCAGACACCACGGCTAAAAGATAGGGTCAGGCACACAGACACAAGCCACAAACAAATTTTCCAAATAAATGGAGGTGTCTATGTGTAAGGCCCAGTGAGTAAGCACGGCAACTTATATTGGTAACTCTTATGAATACTCAGCCAAAATAGGGATTCACAATAGAAAGAAATAGGGGTTATTTGGGAGAAGTCTAGAACAACACAAACAGGACTATTCTGGACCCAGATCGTGGAGCAAAAATAGGTATTAAGTAACTGGGCCACCAGATTGCTGTTATAATCCAAACACAAGACAATCAAAGCATGAACCAGCTGTTTGGCCATTTGGTGGTGAGGAACTGACAGAGCCTATAAATGGTTTTAAAGAAAGTCCCTCATTGATTCGGATTCCTAAGTTTCTCTCCACCAAGGAGGCCCACAGCTGCCAGCCTTGAAAACAAAAGGAGGATGGGGGGAAGAATCAGATGAAATACAGCAAACTCAGGCTTCTCCATGTTCGGTTTGAGAGAGGACTTAGAAAGGGATGACCACACTGTGCCATTCGGAAGAAAGACAGAGGAATCTATTTAGAGTTTTCACCATATGCGTAATAATTAACCTGAAAAAAAAAATAAATGAAAGGACCCAAAGGAAGCATTTGTAAAGTAAATAAAAAGCCTCAAATTTGAACTCAGGAATACCACCGATGATGAAAAATGTTAGGAGACAAAAGTATTCTACCTAACAGAAAAGGTTTGTGAGGTAAGTAAAACCATGGAATGTGATGCAAGTGGCACCAAGGGAAATTAGGCAGGACAATAATATTTGATGGCTCAAAATATCAAATGCAGAAAAGAGATCTAGTGACCTCAACACAACAAACAGATGATGGTTCACCTTAGCCACCAGTAGGTTAACAGCACAAGCCAATGCCAACCTGCAGAAAGTCGCACGTGAAAGCCCTATTGAAATGGGTCTGTGAATTGTTGACCAACAGAAGAAAATTGACAAAGAGCTGCTTTCTCAATGGTTTTGGAAAGGAATGGAAGGAGAGAAACTACATGAAAATTAAAAGGACTGACGAGTATTTTTTTTCAACAGAAGATGATGGTAAGCATCACTTCCTATTGTCCAAATTGGCTGGGGATTACTGGAAATTCAGTGACATCTAGGGAATTATAAGTTCCCCACCCCTGTAATAATACAATGAATACCTTTGCAACATGTTAGTAAACAGGCTGTACATTAAAAACGTGCAGCTTCAGTGGTTCATGAAAACATTGTGTGGCTTCAGTGGTTCGTCAGCCCGAGGAAGGAGAACGCCTTCCGCCATTTCTAGTAATAGGCAGCCTGTTCGTAAGTATGAGTAGTCCCTAAGTCGGACACTCTTAATCTGGGGACTGCTTGTAATTCATATTTGCTGCTTTATTAATATACCACAGGGATACATGTGTGAGAACTATAAAGGACTGTTGTATAATGTTCAAAGAATGACTTTAAAATGTATAAAGGAGACAGCATTACCAAATAGGAAACAAAACATTGTTGCTAGTGTTTTCCATTTCTTTTTTCTTTTAATGCTTTCTGAGTATTTCCCTACTCAAGAGACACAATACAGGAAACTAATAAAATTAAAATAAGTAAGATAGACTGTATATTACAATGGCGACAAAGCCAATAATCCCAAATTACTCTTAGAGCAAAGGATTGGTCTTCATTGGATACTGATTTAACATGAAAAGGTAGAAACAGTCTTCCATATTTTAAAATGGCCTTGGATGAAGAGGCAAATAGTATAGGCAGTATGTTCATGTTTAGCATATGCAGTATGTTCAGCTCTACAGAATGATCTTTAGTCTCTTTAAATGTATCTAGATGTTATTTTAAGACCCTTGATAGGAAAATGTCTTTCTCTTATTCAAGAAGTCCTTCAGGATAGCTAATGCAATCCAAATAAAATTTCTGAGCAGTATCCATTGTAGCCTTTCATCTTATGAGGTATGAGGAATAGCAGTACCACCAGATTCCTACAAAATACTGTAATGCAATTCCCTTAACAAACAAGTAGATGGTAGAATTTATAGTGTAAATGACAGGGATATTCACAAAGCAGAGCTATTAGGTAACAACTCCTGATATCATTTCCTGTAAACCTTACACTATCTGCTGTTGGTCTAGTCAGATGCCAATCCACTGCCATTAGAAACAAAGGGAGATTGTATATTGTAAGGAAGTTAACAAACAATAATACTTAAGATAATTTATTCCCTGTAACTTTTCCTTGTCACACAGTTCTCACATTCAAGCACTATGATAACAATGCCGGAAGTACCTTCTTCAGCACATATATACAAGAGACAAGTTTAGCCAACTGTTTATCATAACAGAAGGCTTTTTGTCCAGAACTTTACCTATGACATCCAAAAGATTTTTCATGCGTGGTTGTGGAAAAGGTTCATGATCAGATTGTCTCCAGACATCATCCACAGTGTCCCGCGTAGTCTCCACTAAATCCACAACCTCAAATAAAGACAGGCTGTCCAAATTGTAATAATCCTAGAATCATGATGCATAATTTAAAAATATAATTTCCAGTGGATATATTAGGGCTGAAATGTTTCAGAAATATTTCTATGAAAATGTTGTATGTACTGTCTGTCACCCATTCCTCCAAATACCTCCAGCTGCTTAGCACTACTTCCCCCAACTTCCTACAGTCCTTCCCAGATCATTCTCATCTACCTCAGTGTCTCAAACCACCTTGTGACAAACCTGCACATTCACCTCACCAAACCTAGAAAAGGTAAAAGAGCAGTTGTTTCCTTGGTCCATTCCAAAATAAATAAGGCTGTTGGTTGAAAAGTGTCCTGTAACACTAGGAAAAAGAGTCTGTGCCCTGTGCCCTCTGTTGATAAATAAGAAAGCTGCAGCTTATGGGGGTATGAGGAAGAAATTTCTTATTAATAATAATAAAATAAATATAAATGTTAAAATAAAAAATGCCCCCACCCACATTTGAGCTCTGCCTGCCAACTTTCAGTGTCTGCTCCTCAATACACCTATGCTGTAGAAAGATTTGTAGACCTTTAGGGCAATAGTAGTCACACAAACCTGATTTATGCTAATTTGAGGAAGTACACATTATTGTTAATCTAACTGGGAGCTAAGCATAACAAAAGCTACCATGAACTATTCATCAATATCTGAATAAGAGCCAAATCATATGTTCAGATAGCTGAAAACCTCCTGATTTCTATGAAGAGTTAAAAGCATTACTCAAATATTTCTTTAAATGTTCATTAGCTAGAACATAGAAATTTTTAGCTTTCTCTAGAATTTCATGAAAATATGTTTTCAAGCAAACACTACAATTTTGTGAAAGCCAATGCTTGTATATGAAGGAAGGTTCATCTGCGCACAACTCAGTTCTATTATACTGATTGTATGAATCCAGCACATATATAAAGCTATGGACTGCTTTATGATTAACAGTGTGCATAAAAACAGAAGCAATGCAGGAGTATATTGTTTTGATATCCTAATATAGCCTCCCCCAACAAAGAAGCCCTTCAGATTTGTGGACATCAACTTCTAGAATTCTTCAGCCAGTATGGTTATGGTGAAAAATTCTGAGAGCTGGTCCATGTATAACTTCTATGTGTGAATTAAATCTTCAGCTTTGTTTGATAAAGTTACACACATATGCAATGGCTTCAAACAGCTCTTTAAAATGAGAAGCTCTGTCCTTGCTACATGATTTACTTCCATGTTGAGCACGCTCTGTCCAGAATTGAAATTCATCATTTGGGCAAAGTATTGCTGTAAAAAAACCAAAAACAAACGTTCAGTTGTTTGCCTAGCAATCAAGTTAAAAACTTCAAAAGCTACAGTATATATTTTAGTAATTTTCCTTACTCCACATAAACAAGCATTAGTGTCTATATTTTAATTTCAACAGACTCATTGCACCTCAAATACATTATGCCATACTACACAAAAATATATTTTTTTGCAAAATACTAACATACCTATACTTCTGGATATCGTAATTCTAACATTCTTATTCGAAATAAATAAAATGTTTTATTTATTATAACACTTTCTATGTCTACTCACTGGACCCTAAATGATAAACTACTTCTCATTATATCTAATTTAAATTTCACAGTTTGTAAATAATAAGCATTTTATACCTTGAACATCATCCTCCCGATATTTTGTTCCTGTATAAGTAGTATCTGTTTTCCTTAGAACAGAACCTAAGCCAGCTTCTAACTCCCGCAAAAGATTTTGTAGTTTGGGATCAAAATCTTTACTCCATTTTTCATCCTAAAATAAAGATTTCAGATTATATAACTTTTCCATCTAAACTGCACATCTCCATTATCATCTTAATACATAGTCTTTATTTAATTCTGTGTTTGTTATTTTCTCATTCCTTTGTTGTTTCCTTAGTGCTGAAATATAGCTGGCATGGTTCTTAACAGTGAATTAAGTTCCATTAATTATAAGGAATATAACTGCCTGGAATCTGTGCTTAAATCTTCAGCAATACTAGGTTTGTACGTAATTAACTGTTAACAAATAACTTTGAATGCTCATGAAAAAAGAAAGCTACATTCCATAAATTAAAACTAACATCATGTCAAATCAATGAAGGGAATTCTACAATGAAAGAACTATAAGAAAATATTAAGTTGTCAATATATGAAAAAAATCCTATGATCCATTGAAATAACCTGGATTCTGCATACTTACTTTCAGTAGCACTGGTGCAAATACCTGTCGCACTGCTTGATAAAGCATATTAACTGGAGAATCTAACATAGATGATACAAGAATATTAGTGTGAAGATTATCTTCTGTAATAACATCTGGTCGTAGCTTGAAGAATACCAGCATTTTGTCTTCTGAATTGCCAGCTTCAACCTGCATAAGTATGAAAGACAGAAATTCATGGGAACTATAAAGCAGAAAACTAATTCAGCACTTTGACAATATTTGTAAATTCTTAAAATTATAGTAGGCACTCTACAAATATTAAACTTTCCTATCTCAGAGAGGAAAAATAGAAAAAAGAAAAGATGGGCTCTATTTCAATATAATATTGCAATATCACATAAAAAGAAAAGCAAATAAGAAAAGCAGGATTTACTTTAAAAATACTACAGTAGAATGTTACTTTTTTATCTAAAGGAAGAAAAGTGACAGAAATATGCATTTTGGTAAGATAAAGCAATAGTGCAAAATATAGAGAAAGCAATATATGTGTTCCTCTCTCTAATGAAAGGATTGTTTGTATATTGTACTCAAAAATCATAGCAACTAATAAGAAATGAATGACCTACCTATAACAGGTTTGTAGACAGCATTCAATGTTCTGTGGGTTGATACCTTAAGCATACAATTACAAAACTGCCTTACAAAGACCAGGCTTACACACTGTTCTAAGTCAAGATGTGGCTGGTTCTGGCTTACCAATTTGCATGAATCCAACTCCTGTGGGTTATTCAACAGCACAATGTATACATAAACCAGATTATTGAATCAGAGCACCAGTCCATCTAGCCCATTATAAACACTACCTGGAAACAACTATTCAGGGTTAGGGGCAAGAACTTTTCCTACCTTACAGTATTTCAATCTATCTTAGAATATTTGTATCAAAAGTACAACCCATAATCCAACTAAGAAATATCACTACAATGCACTCGCTATTTATATCAATAGGATATGTATATACCCTATAAAACCTAAGGGCACAGCTTGAATCTACACAGAAAGGATGATAATCCACTGAGACACTTTTCTCATGCCCATTTCCCTAATATATCAGACACTGTGATATTTGGGGGAATGCATTTATAAATAAGAACTAATACAGTAGTTAGTGGACATAGATTTGTTTTTTAATTGCATTTTTGCCCCATAAGAACATAAGCAGTGCCCTGCTGGATCAGATCCCTGGCCCATCTAGTCCTGCAGTCTCTTCTCACAGTGGCTAACCAACTGCACAAGGAAGCCCACTAGTCTCCCACCACAGTACTCTCCCCACTTGCCTAATAAAAAACCTCCCAGGGGGACTTCCAATCAGTAAACAAAATCAGACTCTGCCCTTAGGCTTGCACATGAAAGAGCACCAGAAAAAAGTTTTTAAAAATTAGGAAGAAAAATATGCAATTAAAGTTAAATAGCTGTTGTTATAGAGACAGTTGAGGAAGACAAAAATCCCAATGAGAACTTGGTCTTTAAGGCAGGGTAATGAAATTGCCAATTTCCAAACAGATGCAACACTTGTATGCTCTTTTATCACCCATTCTACCTATTATAAGCTTACCAGTTTTCTCCTGCAGGATCCTATGCATTACTGCCCAATAAGTAAAAATTCAGTAACAGAATTCTTTCTAAAATCAAAAAGAATCCTTCACAAACTGGTATCACAAAGTGCATGATACCACAACACATAAAACAGCTGTTACCAAGCTGAGTTTTTCAGATATTTGGAGACCCAAATTCCATCCAATTCCAGCTGGCAGTGAAAGTGTGGACACCTGAAGACTTTCAGTTGCAAAAGGCTGGCCTTCAAAGGAAAAGGGCATAAATGCCAGATCTGAGCATTCCCTTACCAGGACTCCAAGGCCCAAGGGCAAACATTCAAACACGCCACAGAGAGGGAATGCCTCTCAACCAAACCCTGAGCCCTTGAGGTATGGCAGGCTACAGTCTTTCCAGGAAAACCATCAATCGGGCTGAGTTTAAGAGAGAGCACTCCCAAGAATGTGAGAGCCAGTTTGGTGGAGTGGTGACTGTGCTGGCCTAGAGTGTAAGAATCTGCCAAACTCAATGCCCAATTAAAGTAAATCTCATTGGAACCATAAGTGGATTCAAAGAAGTTCTTTATTGAGAAGCAGTCTACAGTTCTAAGTTATTACCAAGACTAAAAGCCCACGCACACCAAACCCCCTTTTTCTCCCCAATCACTTGCACCTCCCTCTTCCCAGTCTATCATCCGTCTCACACATTATCTAAGTTCTTCCCGGGTCTCAAGCTGGTACAACCTTGGCATTCTTGGGAACCAGATAAGGGTCCACCTGCGCCTAACGGCCCTTCCTTCCCCCCTTTCCCATAATGGCAGAAACGAAGCAAGGAAATTAACTATGTGAGTTCTAGGCCACCCTTAAGCATGAAAGCTGACTGGGTGACCTTGGGCCAATCCCTCTCTCTCAGCCCAACCCACCTCACAGGGTTGTTGTTGTGGGGAAAATAGGAGGCAGGGTATGAAGTATGTTTGCTGCACACACACACATTATACACGCGCGCACACACACACAGAGAGATACATATATAAATATGAGGTGGGATAAAAATCTAGTAATAATAACAATATAATTAAAAATAACGTCACGATACCTGATTGGAGACAACGATCTCGTCATCTGAATGCTGCACACAAAGAAGAAACTCGTTCCCATCATCCAAAAAGTTGGCCAATTTGGCACTGGCAGAGAGAGGCGCCAGGCTCCCGAACGACGACAGCCCAAAGTAGTTGCCTGCAGTGGCCGCAATGAAAATCTTCCTCTTGTCGCCATCGCCATCCCCATCGAGAGGCATGACAGTCGCGACTCTGGAGCCCCCGCCTAGGAGAACGAAGACGAGTCTTGGAAACCGAGAGCCACTTTTTAACCAGGCCGCCGATCCTTCTCCCCCTCCCCGGAAAAAACAGAAGAGTTTAAGAAAAAAGTTGTAGAGAACAAAGAGAAGAGAAAATGGAATGAACCGAGACGAAGAAAAGGACACGAGATAAAGCGGTAACGCGTAGGAAACGGAAGGCTGCCCGCTTCCCATAAAAAGGAACAAGGACTTCCATATTCAGTTCTCTTTTGTTTAAAGGATTGCTATTTTATACCGGCTGTGACGGACTCTGGGCTGCCGCTAAAGGTAAGGAGTAAACGCCAGTTTGATTCCTCACAGATACCGGCGGGCGGCGTTGCTAGGCCCGGTCACTATGGTAACGCAAAATGGCCGACGTTGCCTAACGCTAAGCCGCGCGCCTTAAGGGTATATCAAGCGATCCACGTCCACTTCTCCGGATCCCTGGAATTACCCCAATCGGTGTGATAGGTAATCGCCAGGCGCGTATCTATCATGCTGCTTTGACTGGATGCTGCGGGAGCGGCAGCGAACGTGCAGGATTGCATAGATTGATCCTACAGAGATGTTGCATTGCAAGTACCATCATTCACGCTGAAGAAAAGCATTGTTGGGTGGAGGTGATGAGAGTTGTTGTCTGGAGGACAACAGTCTGAAAGGGGTTGCTATACTGTACTGCATGGAGAATCTGTTGAGTCTACAAATAGTTGAACTACGAATCCCAGCAGCCTCCAGCCAGTGGTGAAGGACTCTGGGTGTTGTAGTTCAAAAAATATCTGGACTATAACCTGGGTAGAAATAGCTTGCTGGTGTCCTGTATCACAAATGAATCTCCAGTTTTCTTCCATTTTCTCCATCACTAATATTGACTTACTAAATGTGTTATGCTAGACTTTCAGGGAACGGGTAATAAATATTATGCTTGGCCCACTCATCTCATAAAAGCTTCACTTCCCTGAAACTAGGCATAAGCTCCACTGAACCGAGACTTGACCAAAAAAACCTGTACTTCTGTTTTGCTACATTGCTTCATTAGAAGATAAAGCCACAACTACCTTTATTCTGAATGTGTTTTATCGCATTCTGATCTGAAGACTGCCAAGCCATGTAACAAATAACACACAAGACACACATGCACACAAACCCACAACAACACTGTAACTCATTTCTGAGAGCACATGAGGATTAATTATTACTATTTCCAATCTTTCCGACAGCAGCTCACAGCAGTGCACATGGAATCCTCCTCAAATTCAATCTTCACAACTCTGTGAGGTAAATGGAGCTGAAGGGTTATGCCAATCCCCAAATCATCATAGGTTCTATTTTCAAGTGGTGAACAAAACCTGAGCCTCACTGGCTACAGCCCTGCACTTTAACCACCACACACAGTTTAACCATGCTTTGACTATGCACTGGATTTTTTTGAATACCAGATATGCTTATATTTAATGTTTGTACAGTTTTACCATCAAGGAAAAGATCGATGTTTTCCTCTATCTTTTAAACTAAATCCAAACAATCATTGATTAACCAGGATCTTTTTCTCACTGCTGATCCTGTACAGCTGTCCTCCCCAACATGATGCTGTTTAGAATCATAGGTCTTCAAGTGTCATACTCCAGCTTTCCAAGGCACATTATTATGGAAACTGCCCTTTAATACATCTGGAGGGTAACAAATTGGGGAGACCTGTCAGATAAACCACTCCAGATGATATAGCATCTTACAGATACTTCTGGGCTTCTTCATTCATATAACTGACTGCCTTACCATAAATGAATTTTAAGATGACCTTGGGAAAGGTATGAAAAAACATGTAAGGAGGGACTTATAATAAAGATTGCCCAGTTGAGAAATTGAAGCAAGCATCCCTTGATTTTGTTTAGCATTGTTCAGGCTTTTAACACTGATGTTAGCCCTTCAAGGTAGGCCAGGTCAAGAACAGACATTGCACGGATTCCAGGAATGCTGTGTACTTTATTGTTGTAGGATACAGTAACAGAATCTTGAAAACCTGTCCAAGTTTTTCTCTGTTCTGTCTTATACTAAACAAAATAAAGGTGAGGTGATAATTTTTTTTACCTCAAGTTTACTTCAGTCTTCAGTGAACTGCGTAATCTTTTCTGCAGGTCCCTCCTTAACGATTCCTTCATTCCTTCCCCAACGGCATCTCTAAATTCCTTTACACTTACAGTATAACAATTATTTATTTTGCCTTCAGGTCAGTTTTGACTCCTGGCAACTACATAGACAAGTCCCTACAGTTTTCTAGGCAACATTTTCAGAAGTGGTTTACCCTTGCCTTCTTTCTAGGGTTGAGAGAAAATGACTAGCCCAACAGTACATTTGACACATAAGGATAAATCAAGCATTATCTAAAATGTTAGGCATATCAAAAGCAATCAATGCAGTTTCAGCTTCATCCTCATCATATAGTTTGCTGAGTGTTAGCAAAGTTTGACCCCAATTATATAAACCATAACTTATGACTTCAGAGTTTGTGCACGCCCAGCAAACTATGGTTTAACTAGAAATAAACCACAGACAAGCAGACCATGGCTTAGCATGAGATGGAAATCCAACCAGTGACTGGGAATAGCTCTCTTTGACTTCTGAAGGGATATCTGTAGGCCTGTGCTGCATTGTAGAGGGGGGGGGGTTGCCTGAAAACGGATGCCTCGGGCAAGCCCCCATTATAAGCTCACAAGCTGCCCTATTGCGAAATTCACGCCCGCCCCGGCCCCCCTCAATCTACGTCACAACCCCTCTCTCGTGACGCACCACGCACTCCCGAAAGGCGGGGCTAGCGTGTCGGCTCCCTCCCCGTCTCTTAGCTCCGCCCGAGAGGAGGCGGGGCA